AACCGTTTAATAAATTATTTTATCATTATTAACTTCCGCGAGATCACAATCACGTTACAAATTATCATAAATAAATATGAAAAAAGAGTTTAATCATTAAGTTTGACGTCATTTTCAACTGGCAGCCAGACGTTGGGAAAATGCTTAGCGTAATGTTAAGTAAATATTCTAATATGGTAAGTTTAATTTGTCACCTAATGAATCCGCGCGTATGTTGTGTGTGTTAGTTAATCTAGTATAGTTTATTCATGAGTTTTAAAGCGGACCTTCTTGACCGCACACACAATCAAAAACTTTTCTTTTCCTTTTTCTGTGTCCTAGACCTTGCTTGTCAAAAAGACGTGTATATGAAAATAACTTTAAAAGTTTTTAAAAAGCGCACGCAATTTAATAGGGATGATGACTATTTTTTTTTCTTCGTTTATCAGGTAGATTATCAAAAAGTATTGGACACGTATTTTCTCTTTTTTCACATAATATAAACATTGCAGAGATATATTGATTTGAAAAGTCGCATGACGTCACGTTTTGATACAATTTTTACTTAAAAGTGACGTCACGAGCCCCTACCCCCAAACTTTGACGCGCTATAACTTTGACATTTTTTGGTTGATTGCCCAAAGAAAAAATACGTGTCCATTATTTTTGATCATCTAACTGACGGAATAAATAGAATTTAGTTTACTGTACCCCGTCATCACCCCTATTATCACAGTATAGTTTCTTCGTGAAATAGTGGTATGCTACACCGATTTTCAAGGTGCCACAGAGTCCTAGCAGAATTCGAAACCAGGGGATTTGAATTCATTGTTACCTTTATCTTGACAATTCTTCGCGAGTATGAGGTACAGTGGTAGAATATAAACGAGATTTGGACAGAATATTCTTTTATTACCTGTCGATTTATTCAATTATAGATAATAAGAGGCGATGACAGAAGCAAAATGTAGTGTTACCAGGACTTGCATCTAACTCAGTTTTAAATTATAAAAACATTGCCAGATTTAGAGTGTATCTACCAAATGATTTTAACAGCAACATTAATTCCATACAGCCAATATCAATGAAGGTTGGCTTTCGTTGGTAGTGCCTCCATCGTATTCTTATAGAAGCAAGAGTAAGTTGGTATATCAAAAAAAAAAATGCTTGTGTTTGAATTGCTCCAACCATTCCAACGACGATAGACGATACTTCTATTAAATGTAAAAGCTGTATTTAAAGTTGATTACTTAAGGAAGAATAATCAGACTATTTAAGCACATTTGAATGGCAAAACGGCGTGGTCATGATTTCCCCATTGTTTTTGCTTTGTAATTGTTTGCAGTGTCCTACAGATAAATTAACTTTAATTTTAAGAAAATATTTTGTGGTTGATATAGGTGGTTATGGGTAGTCATGCACTCTTAAAAGTCTCTTCGGTGGTATCGTGTGAGACGGGTCGTTACGTTCCCTAAAATTTGGTTGAGCGAATCGATGGCTGGTTCATGCGTCATGCTCGTGAACGGGTGTTGCCAGCGGATGTGAGTCTGCCCTAACTACTTTGATATGATGTAAATGTCTAGTTACACCTAGTATAAATAACACTATTTGTATTTATACTGTATGACACAACAATCATATGCAGGTGAACAATTAATGTATAATTTCATATTATGTAATGAAAGGTGACTTCATGAATCATCTCTGAAGTCATTTTTCTACTTGACGACTCTGTAAATAATGAAACAGGGAGAAAAAAGAGCCCTTGCTGAGTTTCTTGCCGGTTCTTCTCAGTACAAGGTTTCCCGCCGTAGATTTACAAACCGATGGCGTAGCTTCTAGACATTCATGTATGCTTGTAACAGCCTAAAATGAATTAATGATTTTGATTGATTGAAACATAGAAGACTGCGGCCAAATAGGTATATACCACTATTTTGGAATTTTGTGTTCCTAGCGCACGGGCCCAGTGCGGATTGGTGGACCAACACGCGGATTTTCCGTCAATCATTTTTTGTGTAACTTTAATCCTTTACGCAGCGCAGGCAACGGAATCTCCCAAATGGAATATTTTACAACATTTTACATCTATACTCCGCTCATACTGGTCGGTAACATAATATAGCCTGACGCCTTCCTCAACAAATGCACAATAAACAAAAAAAAAATGGATGCGTGTAACTTATGTACGCGCGTGAGAAGTTATACTTCTTTAGCATCATTAAAAATATTTTTTAATTGCATGCAAATAATTAATAATTACAATAAAATAATAAAAGTACTGGAAAAGGATAGTTAACACAGTCAATTAAGTTCAGTTTTAATTTGACAAATTAAATAAATATTCAATTAAAATCACTACTGAATTTAAGTTATTAGTCCATATGTAATTAGCACTTGTAAGTAACTAAAACACGTTGTGTCTATATAGAAACTAGAAACATGTGGATAAATATTATAAATATGAAAACAGTGATCAGAGGCGACGAGCGTGCCAACATTGTTTTTGACAACGCGATCATCTTATGGAGCTCCGTGGATCGTCCAAAGTACCTTTCGAACAGATGTCTAATAATGGTGGATTATTAACCACTAAGTGGTTAATAATCCACCATTATTAGACACTAACATTCATAACGCGCCCGCGGCCAACTTCATGCTGTTACTTTTGGGTTACAGTGATGCGCGCGCATCTAAAAATTTCACTCTCATCATTTTTTCATAACGCGCCTAAAGAAGTATAACTTCAAAAATATTTTTTCAAATCGGACCAATTGGTTCCTGAGATTTGCGCGTTCAACCAATAAAATGGTACATTCGGTACAACGGGTCCTAAACTACGCAACAAAATTTTCACTATCAGTTAAATAAAATTTCCTTGAAGGTTTATAATTAGATAAAGGAATTAATTGTGTATAATACAAGCCTGACAACAAAAACTATCGTCTACTCTACAGTTTTACACCGAAGCGAAGCGAGGGCGGGCCACTAGTCATATGTAAATCGAGCAATTAAATGCTTAAAATTAAAAATATACTAAACAGCGGTATAGATAAAAGAAGCTCACTTCTTTCAATGATATATATTTCACTATGAAAAGGGTCGAAAAAAGGCGAAAAGCGGTGACACTGCGGCAAATTAAGACTGTAATGGCCTTTTCATTAACAAGAAACTTTTTATCCATTCTACGAAGGATTCATTACCATATTGTACAAGACAAGAATTAACACGAGGTCAAGAGGTGCAAGAGTTCGCAAATATCAAGTAGCCTAAGGGGACGCTTTTAATTGGTATTTATTTATATTGTTATGTATTCCTAGTAGAAATAGAATAGTAATACGTATTTTGTGAACATTTAGCACACAGTGGCCGCACACGGGCCACCGACCACAACCACGAAACTCCGCCACCGGCATATTTCTTGTAGTTTTCATACATTTTATACGGACTCGCCACTCACGGTACGCCGGTGGCCGCCACACGCTTCAAATCGTCGTTGCTCGCTTCTTGTGGTCCGCAACCGCCACTTAATGCGCCTATACTAAACGCCGCCACACGTCACTCGCGCGATTCCCCACCCCTCTCTGCCTTACCTTAGTCGGCCGCTGTCGCGCGCTTCAGCCACTTTAGTAGCCGCTTCTAGCTTCGTGGCGGGGTTTGTGGCTGTGGCGTGTGTTTCTTGAGATGCAGCCTGCTGAGCTGACAAACGGAGACTTGGGTCAGAAACTCTTTCTCGGAAATCAGTTGGGCATGTACTAGCGGTGTTTCATTATGCTTTTGGAGTTTTCATATCGCTCTTTTGGAACAACGAAGAAAAAGTTTCATAGATTGAGCAAGACTTCTTGTTCCCAGCACCAAAATATACTGCCGTGGCCTACTTCTTTTAAATAAGGATAGAACTAAAAGCGTTTCGTTGCTCTTAGCTAATAATACTACAAGATTGTCCTTTGTGGACGCGAGTATATTATATCCGGCTGTTTTATTTTATTTATATTGTCCCGAACTCTTTATAGTAAAGGATGGGTGACGTCGGGAGCGAAAGGAGTTTTGCTTCGATCATTATAGTGACATCTAATTGAGGTTTGTCAACCAATGGGGCCTCTTATTTATAATACAACAGTTTTATACGTATTTATTGAAAAACAATTTTAAAAGCTTCTTATGTCTCTCTATTTAGTTACGAAAATGTTGGTTTAATTTGTATATCGTTAATATGAGTATAATTGTATATCGTAATAAGAGTCATTGAGCAACGCGAATGCGTTTAGTTGGTGAGTAAAGATCTAGGTTTCCACAGGGAATAGGATTGTATTCGTACCAACAGAACAGAAGCGACACAATTTTGTGGCTATCATCGCGACTGGACTACACTAAGGCCCATATTGTAGAAAGATTCTCAGTACTTGATCTAGTCTTGAGCATAGTTAGAAAGGGATGTCGCTATATATAGCGCATAGCGATATCCCTTTCTAACTGTACTCAAGTAAAGATCAACACTTAGTTGTCATTCTGTAATACGGGCCTTAGACTTAAAAAGAAGATTGATTAACATCAATTGGCAAACAAAGAATTCTATTACCGAATAGTATGACAGAGAATCTACTTCTTAGTCGAGTTGATATCAATACTTTATTAGCCACAGTAGGTGGCAATGTAGCAGTGCTCCCCTATCCTGACTAAAGGAAGATGGAGTGCTTATCAAATCAGATAATTATTGACATAATTATTTATGATTATTGCTATCAAAATTGTTATTGTGTGTTCTCATAGTTTTAATCTGTCATCTGCTTCAATATTATTTTGCGTATTATTTTAGAATAGTGTAAATAAACCCATTGCGTCCAAAATTCTAGCCTTCATTTTCCATCCCACTAGCTCTCCGCTTCACTTGCGATACATAAATATGACCCATTACCCTACCCCGTTGAGCCCTGGAACCTTATTAAATGTTACCTTATTGTGTGTGACTGTCTCCTGTAAGGCGTAGGATGCTTCCCCAGGCGGACGCTCCAATTTCTGCGGAAAATCAGCTATGCCCTATCTGTCTTAAAGTAATGCTATAGGTACATGGCATTTTATAGTCTAGTCGAGAATTTCATTCGATTTAGTGCAAAAATTTAATTGTCCTCGCCTATCTATTTTCCGACCCATTTAAAGGCGATAAATATAAAGAAAAAGTACACTTAAACCTATAGTGGTTGTGAATGGCGTTGTGTAGTTTGTGCTAGGACGAACGATTTAAGCGGTTCCACAAGGACTATATATAAATTGGTTGGCGGCAGTTGCACAGGCAGTGCGCGCTGTAGCCTTAGTGCGGCAATATTGCATTAAAAAAAATTACACAGCAATTGTCATTTGATTCGCGAGTGCGCGGCAAAAGTTTTGGTGCACGGTTGAATATATTTGACATCTTTGTGCTTGTGCTTCTTCATCTGTGAAGATTTTCGGAATTCGAATCGTGAGTCCCTTTTTTTAATTGTATAAAACGTTTCTTTTCTTTTTTTCTAAATAGGTTGAGGTTTATTTATATGAAATGAAATAATATTTATTTGGAATAACAAATGGTTTTGTTTTTATCTTGAATTGTTCATTATATTTATCTTAACTTTTAGGTACGCACACACCTGTAAAAAAATAAGAGTATTTCCATATTTTTTTGACGATCCTTATTTATCATGTAGGTGGTACGATACATGAAACAGTTAAAATATATTCTTAATATAAAATTGATTTGATTTTACATTTAAGATATTATTTAAATCACAATACACTACGTTTCAGCTTAGCGCTTTTTATTATTATATACTTTCAAAACTGAAGCATTTTACAGTCTTCAAAAAATATGATAATTTAATCATAAAAGATTTTTTTAATATTGCACTTAGGTGGTGATGTAAATATTCATTCAAAACAATGATTTCTTAATATATTATAAGTACTTCGCTTTCACCTTGCACTCATAAACCTTATAGACCAGTGATCTTCTTCACTGTAAGATAAATAATCAAAACAATAAATCAATAATTTAATAAACATACTATTATAATGTGTAATTGTCTTGATAAAGTTGTATAAAAAGATGATTGATGTTTGTTTTGATGATGGTCACATGTGATTGATTCAGAAAAATCAATTTCACTTACAATATTCATACTCCATGGGTACCATAAAAAAGTACATTCTAAATTTCCTTTGATCTAAACTCGCGCCTTAAAAGTCTATACATTGTAGAAACCTCTTTGCAGAGTCTACAAAGCGGCTGCGCCTATTTTTCCTTTAGCCACAATTACATTATATTCCTATATTCACGTAAATATAAGAAATAGGTATTGTAATTTCTATTTCATATATTATAACTGTTTAGGGCTTTGTAAATCTCATTTTGTGTATTATATTTGAAACGTTAATCTGTGCTAGGCTTTTATATGTACAAGAAATACTTAACAGAAAATTTTCTTAAGATTTTAAACATGTTCAAGTCATGAGAACATGAAAACGAACATGTAAAGAAAATTTTACTAGAAAAAAATCCACTCGGTCCTGGTCCAGAGTGTTTTTTTTTTCTCGTAATATTTTCTTTAGATATAAACATGCAGCAGTTAAATGCTTAACATAACAATATAATAATATGATCATGTCGTAAACAGAATTACATTTGTTAAGTTCATAATATTATTAAACCTTGTATTGCTTTGCATCAATCAGTCAGTTTTAATTTAGGTTTTCTTATGCTTTTCATTCACACATCAGTTACAATAATGTTTAACAGAAGAGACCTATTAATGATGCAAAGTCGACAGCAAAAAAAAAAAAATAGTATACAGCGAAGCGAAGCGAACGTAGCAATATGCACGGATGCGAGTTCTTTGTAAACATCACAAGTGAACGTGTAATAGGGGTGATGACGGGGTAAACGAAATTATATTTGGTCCGTCAGTTAGATGATCAAAAAATAATGGACACGTATTTTTTCTTTGGGCAATCGTTTAAAAAAATGACAAAGTTATAGCGCGTCTAAGTTTGGGAGTAGAGGCTCGTGACGTCACTTTTAAGTGAAAATTGTGCCAAAACGTGACGTCATGCGACTTTTCAAATCAATATATCTCTGCAATGTTTATATTATGTGAAAAAAGAAAAAATACGTGTCCAATACTTTTTGATAATCTACCTGATAAACGAAGAAAAAAAATAGTCATCATCCCTATTGTTTCTTAGGTTTTCAAGCAAATCACTCATTAAATAAAACTAGTTTTCTATAGCTTCTGACGATGCAGACCTGAAAAGGCTGCGAAACGTCAATAAATAAATTTATAAATTTCGTGCCCGTTAAAACTAGTTTTATATTAAACGTGTAATTGATTAATTTTTATGTAGAATATTTCGACATTGGCACTACCTATTCCTTTCTCTTAATTTAAAATAGATCACCACCTACCTAGATTGTACTTTTCTTAAATGATTAATTAAGCAATCGTGTTTTTCATGTTCGCACTTTTATAGCTTAATTTGACTTGACATTGTTAATTTAGAATGTATTTGAGTTTATTTAAAGATTAATTTTACTCATGTGCATTTTTTTAATATCAATTTTAGTAAAATTACATTACATTAGTTTAATATCAATTTTAGTAAAATTATTTATTGTACTGCATTTTAAAAAAAAGGTCTTATTATCTTGTATTATGTATCATATTATTTTGTTTAAAATCAATTAACGGATTTTTTAAGGGTTAAAATATTCTTTTTTTATTTATACCGTTACAGAAGTCAGTTCCATCAACCAAACTACTTTGATGATATCAAATATCCCAAAGAATATTTATAATTTTTTATTTACAAGGAACACTTAGTAATTTTTAAGTTAAATGCTTATTGAAGTTAGGTACTTAACTGCAGATTTCAAGGTACCTGCTTGTATCATTTGAAAAAATCGTTTGGCTTTGTATGCGCGGATGGAGGAGGCTACTGTAGCATCCGGCGTCCAGTATACGCCGTCTTTAGTAAGTAGCGGTTGGCAAACTTTTTGGCTGAACCACAGACAAATGAACTTAAGCAGTAGACATTTTTGTATGTAAAATTGCAAAACTTTTGGCGTAGTTTTCAAAATAAAACATCTTTCAGAAACCTTATCCTTAAATAACTCAGTTCATGTATTCTATTATAACGATATATTATAATACCATTTTGTAATTTTAGCTTTTATACTCTAGCAATATCGTACAGGCCCTGCCAGAATACCAGCGCTGTTACGGTGGGAATATTCCCGTCCCATTGTAACAGCATTAAGCTGAGGCAGGATCCTAATTGGCCTTTCTTCTTTCAGCATATTGTTTTTGTCTGTTTGTTTTTATTGGTTTAAAATTTCTTAATGTTACATACTTGTGTTTTAAGGCCAATAAATGATTTATCTTTCTTTCTTTCTTTCTTATCCTTAAAATAATCATTACAACTAAGAAAGAATATCACGATTTGGTGGTCTTTCAAAAGATATGTGTGTACATACAATACGGCGATTTATTTTTATTTCTTTTTATGGAAGATGGGTTGTTTTGTTCATTTATAATTTATCCTTGTCGGAGGCTGTAGTAGCGTCTGGTACGCCTGAGCGCCTCCGAGGGCTGACTTAAAAGTGTCAGGGTGAAGGCCGCACGCCGCCGGCCGTTCCAAATACGAGGCACGCAAACACAACAGTACTCAAGATTGCAGTTTTTTTTACGGATTGTTTAGTTTAGCCATGATTAAGTTTAGGTACTTGTTAAACGTCAAAGAAACTAGTCGTCTTGAACTGGTGATAGTGCCAGAGAAAGATGGAGAAAGAATGGTTGCTGATGTTTTTAGGGTTTTGGCTTTTTAATACTCTTGCAGTCATTCTGATCATCGGAGTCAAGCTCTTTTTTTCTCAGGAAAACGTGGAGCAATAAAGCTGAGATTATTACCAAATACTCAGGCTTGGCTTGCTTATTTATTTGGAAAATATGCAAGACACTATTTCCGTAATGAATATACTAGCTATTAATGTAAGTACAATTGAGTACGGATTCTGTATTCATTCTGATCATTTGAGTCAAGACCCCTTTTTCTCAGGCAAAACGTGGAGCTGAGAGTAATACCAAATACTGAGGCCTGTTATTGATAAGGAAAGTATTGAGACACGATTCCCGTGTTGAATATACTAGGTATTAATGTAAGTACAATTGAGTACGGATTCTGAATTCATTCTGATCATTTGAGTCTAGACCCCTTTTTCTCAGGCAAAACGTGGAGCTGAGATTAATACCAAATACTGAGGCCTGTTATTTTTATAAGGAAAGTATTGAGACACGATTCCCGTGATGAATATACTAGGTATTAATGTAACTACTGTTCATTACGGATTCATCCTTCACCATTTTTCTCAGAGCAATAAAGCTAAGATTATTATTATTATTATCAAATAGTGAGCCTGTTATTTATTAGGAAAATATTCGAGACATGATTGCCGTGATAAACATACTAAGTGTTAATGTAACTACAATTTAGTACGGAACCCATAGCGAGCGAGTCTGCCAAATTTTTGCATCACCTTTGCTGATATAAGACTAGAAACCAGAGTTGTGAATCATCATCAGCCTATTAAGGCCCACTGCTGGTGCACAGGCTTCCTATGGATGGAACGGTGGGTGGACCACGTCTCACCACGCGGGCCCAGTGCGAATTGTTGAAAGCTAGCTAACGAGTCCAGATGCAGATGGGCCCAACGGCTCCCTAAATTGTCTCTACATTATGGAATAATGTCCCTACATTATGAGAGTTAAGACCCACCAATCATTTAATAGTAAGTAGACTTGTTAGGTTCATTTCAGTTTTGCGACGACACAGGCCAAGGATATTGTAAATAAAATAAAAAACGCTCTATATATTACTTATCCATTGAAAGAGAGCTAAAGGTTTTCCTGTTTATATAATAATAATAAATATTTCCAACACTCACACCAATTAGCCTAGCTCCAAAGTAAGCACTGTAAGGCTTTTGTTATGGGATAATAGAATACATATACTGTACACATATAAGTATATTTATATAGAAATACATATTAAACATCCATGACTGGAGTACAAATGCTCGTATTCATCACACAAACATCTGCCCCCACCGGGATTCGAACACGGGACCTCTCGAGTCGGCTACACCATGAAAACCGGCGTACAAACCACTCGACCACGGAGGTCGTCAATATGATAATAAGACATAAGGAAAATTTATGTTGGATAAACTATTTAAAACAGTTTCCAATTTTAATAATTATGTTTTTTTATACGCAAACTGTAAAAACGAGACCCTATTACTAAGACTACACTGTCAATCTGTTTGTCATCAGGCTGTATCTCATGAATCGGGATAGCTAAACAGTTGAAATTGACACAGATTATATATTTTTGTAGAAACAGAATAATGGGACCCCCATACAATAAACGTGT